ACTAAACCTATAAATATATGCACATAGATCTACTTCCCCATCAGACTTGTATAAAAATAAGCAGCCATCTAAGCAAGGCGTCAACTAAGTCTACACTGAGGAAGCATACTAGCTAGGGTGATCCAGAGATGACAATTACAAAATTCAAACACAGTGAAGAGAAAACCATCAAAGCAAAAATGATGAACACCCAACATGTGGGGTCTCTGGGGAGCGGTGAGAATGCAAAACCCATCACAAAATATCTGTTCAGACTGAGCCCCTGGCAGATTCGCACTAGCTACCGGCAAGAATCTCGAACAGCCTTACTGACAGGCAGAGACCAGTGTCATCTTGATCATGCTGGATCGACCTTGATACATGGCCTGCTGAACACCTTACAGATGGGACCTGAACGTGTCCTTGGTGCAAGTGTCTCTTACGGGTTCCATCACAGAAAATTCTTCCCTGACTTTTTGAATGTGGCTGGAGTCTGTCCCTTCTTACACATTATTGGTATCTCTGTACACTATGATGCTTTTAACCTTGCCACCACAGTGACATTTTATTTTTCATTGCTTTTCTGTAGGGTCTCCCAGCTGAGAAGTGCAGGCGTAGACGCATAATGAGAATCACTGATACCAGGGTTATAGGGAATGCAGGCGTGGGAGGGTGAATGATGATGAGGGAAAGGTGATCTTGGGGATAAATGGGGAATGGGAGGGGGGAGGGAGCACTAGAATGGATTGTGATTGCATAACTCATCTTGAAGATGATTTAACCATGGGATGGGGCATCTTCCCACGCCCAGAAACAGTCTGGGAAACCCACAGGGGTCATTATGAGTCAGCATTGACCCGATGTCCGGGAGAGGAGAAACAAAGTGATTTCGTTTGTACTGACAGATAGAACAGGCTTGACCATATTTTTGATGGATGCCATAAATATTGACTGAGTTTAGAGCCTCTGACCCCTTGGTGTTGCAGGAATCGCTTTTGACTTTACTGAGCCTCCTTTTCCTGCATCATTAGCTGTCAACTCCTCCCCTTGAGGATTCAGACTTGCTGAGAGTCCTTGGAGTGTCCTTCCCATCACCTCTCGCTTGCTTAGACTGCCCTGAGAGACAAGGCATCAGATGACCCATATACAGCACAAGGGAGGCCAGGGGCAGGTTTATAACTTGGTTCCCCATCTGAGTCAGTCACTGTGCCTAGTGCCAGAATATACCAGCCAGCAGTGATACTCTGCCTCATCCTCAGGCTGGCCCTGAGGAGGGTGAGGGCAGCTTTGCCCCCAAGGAGGGATCCTGGGAACCAGCAGGGGGTCAATGAGATT